ACGCACAGCAACCCGCCGCACGCACAGCAAACCCGCACGCACAGCACACCCGCAACCACAGCACGCACCCACAGCAACACAGCAACCCGCACGCACAGCAACACAGCAACCCGCACGCACAGCACAGCAACAAGCACGCACGCACGCACAGCAACACAGCAACCCGCACGCACAGCAACACAGCAACCTGCACGCACAGCAACACAGCAAACGCACAGCAACACAGCAACCTGCACGCACAGCAACACAGCAACCACGCACGCACAGCAACACAGCAACCCGCACGCACAGCAACACAGCAACCCGCACGCACAGCAACACAGTAAACCCGCACGCACAGCACAGCAAACGCACAGCAACACAGCAACGCACGCACAGCAGCAAGCACGCACACAGCACAGCCCGCACGCACAGCAACACAGCAACCCGCACGCACAGCAACACAGCAACCCGCACGCACAGCAACAGCAACCCGCACGCACAGCAACACAGCAACCCGCACGCACAGCAAACACAGCAACCCGCACGCACAGCAACACAGCAACCCGCACGCACAGCAACACAGCAACCGCACGCACAGCAACACAGCAACCCGCACGCACAGCAACACAGCAACCCGCACGCACAGCAAGCACAGCAACCTGCACGCACAGCAACACAGCAACCTGCACGCACAGCAACACAGCACAGCCCGCACGCACAGCAGCAACACAGCAACCCGCCGCACAGCACAGCAACGCACGCACCCGCACACAGCAACACAGCAACCCGCACATACACACACACGTACTACTACTACTTTTTTTTTTTTTCTTTCTTTCCTTAACGTGGCCTCCAGCTTCCCCCAATAGCCACACCTTCGCCACCATTTATTTACCTTAATATTAAATATCCTAATACATAATAAGCTATCCTATCTGTGTTAAATTAGTTGAGCCGCAGATCTATGCGGCATTCAGTGACTGTAGCCTCATAGTCAATATCTGCAGCAGTTGTACTACTACTTTGCTGTCACTCAGAATCGAGTATGATGGTCATCCAGCTATGATGCAATGATATGAGTCATCAAGGATGTTACCTACGTTGCTGAGTTCTGAAGTGACTAAAGAGGCCGATACGGGACCGGCAGGGTCGTTCAATGATTTTGCACATGTGGAGGGCTACATCTAGTGCGGGAGGGGCGGCGGCAGTGTCTTTCCAGCGTTGGCGCTTGTCTGCCCCGGTATGCAGCCGGGCTAACTCGAAAGTATTGACAACTTCTGTGGTGCTCCTCCAAGCGTTGTGGTGTGGAATAATCGTCTCCCCGGTGAGGTGGTCAATTTGGCACTTTTTTAGGTTTGTCTTAAGACGATCCTTATACCTTTTCAGTTGCCTGCCAGCATTACGTTTACTACTCGTTATGTCACTGTAAAGTAGCTGCTTCGGCAGTCTACTGTCGTCCATGTGGGTACCATGGCCAGTCCAGTGTAGATGTTCATGGATAATGGTAGCCTCGATATTCCCACAGTTGATGTAAGCGAGAATACTGGGATTTGTTCTCTTGTCTTTCCAGCGAACTCGGAGGATGGAACGTAGACTATGTTGGTGAAAGTTATCAAGTGCCTTGAGGTGCCTCCTGTATGTGACCCATGTCTTCCTGCAATATAGCACGGGTACGGAGATTTCCAAAGGCTTGAGATGCACATCTGATCCGACGGTGAATCTCTTCATCGATGTCCGTGGTGGTGGACAGTTGGGAGCCGAAAAGTGGGTAACATTAGAGGGGGTAGTACCGTTAATCTGAATGGATGGTGGATGTGTGGCTGAATCAGGGGCTGGCTGGAAGAGAAAATGAGTAAGTACATTCACCTTAAGGTCGAAATGTGCACGCACATCTACATAAGTGTTAGGATCTCCTGTAGGTCGCGTTCAATTAATTATGAGTGAAGAGTGTGAGGTTGTCTGCATACTGAAGATAGTGATGGAAGTGGCTGACACCTTTGTTCCTGCCTGAAGTCGTTTTATGTTGAAAAGTTGCATCATCTGGTATTGGTTGTCCAACCTGTCGGCTACATTGGCACTGGCGTGAGTAAGGAAGGAAACCAAGAAAATGGAAAAGAGAGTTGGTGCCTGTACACATCTTTGTTTTACTCCCGTTTGGATGGGGAAGAACTCAGACTGGGTACTATTGTACAGGACACTGCCGTTCATGCAATCGCGGAGTTGCCTCACAATGGCGATGAACTTTGACCGAGTCGAAGACCTTAGTAATGTCGATGAAGGCCATGTACAAGTCACGGCGTTGTTCTCTGCACTTTTCCTGTGTCCGGCGAGCAGCAAAGCTCATGTTAATGGTGCCACGTGATGGTCTAAAGCCACATTGAGATTCTGGGAAGAAATTTTCTGCTTCAGGAAGAAGTTTGTTGGAGGACTCGGGCGATAATCTTGCCAGCTTCGGACAGCAGCGAGATCCCGCAGTAGTTGTCACAGTCTGACCGGTCTCCCTTGCTCTTATAAATATTGATGATGGAAGCGTCTTTAACATCTTGGGGGTTTTCCTCGTCCCATAATTATATTCTCCAAGAGAGAGTGGAGGCTGCTTGTAAGCAGAGGTCCTCCCGCTTTATACACCTCGGCTGGGATGCCATCAGGTCCTGTGGCTTCGTTATTTTTCATCTGTTTGATGACAGTAGCTACCTCATCCCGGGATGGAGGATGGCTGAGGTGAGTCAGCTCTGGGTGCTGAGGCAGTCAGGACATCCTCATTGGTGTTTCAGCTGAGCAGCGAATGGTAGTGCTCTTTCCAGCGCTGACGGATGCATTCTTCGTCTTTAATTGGGGAGTTACTGTTGGATGAGCGGAGGGGGCCGGGCCATGAGTAGTTGCCCCTCACCTCCCCACACACGGACGTGTGCATGAGAGCTTATGTTATGGTTTAAGGGGCAGATGGACAGTCGCGGAGAAAAGTTCGCTCCTCATAGTGAAATTGAGTCACGGGAATGAATCTCCGAGCTTACCCTGACTGTTGTAATTGTGGTGTTTTATCCCGTTTGGGGTCGATGCTGCTTCATTTTGGGAGGGAGCGAAATTTTGACCTTGACTGTACACTGATGTGCACACTTGTACTACATTATTCCGTTTGTACAATAATGCTCTGGTCATATACCGCATTGTTCCGGTTATGCTACATTGTTCCTGTAGCACCATATTGTTCCGTTTGTGCTACATTATCCAAGATTGAGCTAGAAGTACCACATTGTTCCAAATAGTTGTCTCGATGGGTGTAGAAGGAACGTCAAGGCGACTTCATAATTGCCTGATGATAGATGAGGATACAGTATGTTTTGTAATTCTACATTACTGTTATTCTTTTTATTTCGTTTTTATGTTTTTGGTTACAAAAACACAGCTTTTTGCACATAATTTGAACTGCAATGATTCCACGTTTACTGGCCAGCGATTTTGATACAACGTTTTAGAGTTTTCTGTCTGTTGTCTGTACTCTTACTTGTATAGGTGTGGGGGAGTAGTAGCTGCTTTTGATCACTTACTTTATTTGCAAAATGATGACATATCGATGTAGTACATCAATCCTGTTACTTGTCTGTTAGTGTTTTTGTTTTAAAATTTCTGTACCTGTAATTTTACTTGTAACCGCACTATTTATATATCTACTTGTTACTCTACATGTACTGTTATTTTTGTACTTGAACTTGTACCTGTAATTGCACAATTTCTGTACCTGTACATGTAGCTGTTCAGTTGCTTCTGTACCTGTGTAGTCATTTCCGGATAAAGGTTAAATGGGTTGTTATATACGGGTTTTTTATTTCGAGGCGTGTTAGTACTGAATGTTTGTTGACACTGCGCTGTGTTTGTTTACTGTGTTTAAATGTTATTTTTTTCGGTTGCTTGACAGGTAAATGCAGCAAGGTGTGTGTGAGAGAGAACTGTCACGACCAGAGCATCCACATGATTCACTCCCAGGTACCTGCATTCTAATTACGTTTTACCACAGGTAATTTCACTCGGAGGTGCCTGTGTAACTTGGTTCACTGTAGGAAACTGATTCTGGTAGTTTGACTGAATATAATTTACCAAGTCCGTAAAATTAGAACAATGGGTTCTATTAATGTAATCGTTTGAAAATTTCACTAAGATGGTAGTGCCACTTCCTATGTCCTGTGGTTTAGTAACTTTAGTCTCTGTAGACTCTGGGGTTGAGGATGGCAACCACTTTTAGAAAAATATCTATGTATTGAGCCAAGATTATGAACAGAAACTCTAGTCTAGGCCCTAATCACTTCTTGTTAGGTCTGAGGATAAGGTCGGTTCAAAGAGAAGGCTCAGCAATGACTGATGTCACCGACGTGCTCAAGGGCATGGCGGTTGAAGTCATTCTACTGAATCGGCATACTGGATGCTTATCTTTTAACCCTCACTAAATAAGCTATAAATTGCTGGGTTTACTACTGCATTATATAAGGATGTGGTGACGCTATCTGCCCTAACGACAGTCTAGTTATCCACTGGTTATTCATCAGGGTTATGCACAGTGGTGAATAAGACCCTACACCAGCAAGCTTAGGTGTGTGAACTTCCAAGTACAGTCGCGGTCAAAAGTAATCATCCACTCCACCACCTAACCCCTGTGCCGTGGCGGGTCCCTTCTGCACGGCATGCAACGTGAGGTGGAGAGGGGGGAATGGTCGACTTGGGGGAGGGTGTGGGTGATATGCGATATAAGTTGCTCATCAGAGAGGTTGGAGAAAGCAGTGAAATTCATGAAAGACGTAAGAGAAGGATGGATGTAATTTTGTTCACTAGGTTTACATGTTTGAAAGAATAATAGGTAAGGACCCTTATTTTATGTTTATTTTAATATGCCATCCATTTCCTTATAATTTTTTCAGGTTGTTGTTCAGGTTTTAAACGACGGTAATTAGATATTTATAACAGCGTTGATATGAGGAGAAATAATGAATACGAGGGTAGAAATGGCATTTATTTTTAATATTTACCAACACAAGTCTTACAGAATCTCCATAGTCCATCCAGGCGAGGCGCCTGTCAATCGTGGTATTCCGGGCCTAAAATTATATAATTTATTTGAATTAAGAGTTCAAATATGTTTTGTTTGCATTATGCACCCGAAATTAGTCATTTTGATATATTAATGTCAGCAATCCATCAAAAATACTCACGGCGGCCAGTTCCCCAAGTTCCCAGACTCCTCCCTGCAGGTTAACCAACGTCTAACAGTGACCCCAACCTCCTTAGTAATTTCTGACACATTGTTGCCAGCCGTTCGCAACCCGATAATTTGCTTGCGACTCCCCAATCGACGTTCTTAGCGCCCATCCTGGGCTGGATGCTGAGCAGTTGCCAAACACCATTGTCACTATCACTCATCACTTTGCATTGATTTTCACAAATCTAATAAACATACAGTGTATTACAAAGTGGAAAAGTCACTTTCTATCCAACAACTCATTCTTTTCTTTCAATTAATAGTGATTTTTTTCAATAACGGTAGTAGCGAGAGGTGGAAGTGACCAAGTTACAATTCATTCTTATTTTTTTATCAATTAATATTGATAATTTGTTCAAGAACGGTAGTGGCGAAAGGTAGAAGTGATCATGTAACAGCCTCATTTAGTGTTATTGGTGGTTAGCCACGCCCCCTCCTCTCTTATGTTGTCATATCAGAGGCTTTCCCTCAAGGAAGCCAGATGCCTTATCAACCCCAACGACACATTACCTGCCAAATCTCGCTCGCATTTCTCCCTATATCTCAAGTAAAGTCATAGCTAACTAAGGGAAAGTGAAGTCCATATGACTATTATGACACCTCCCCGGACATCCGCACTCCTGGTTGGTTGTTTGGGCTTTAGGCTCATCGACTGCCAGGATCAATGTCAAGCTACATCCACTAACCTTAACACTTTATTCAAGTGTTAAGGATATTTCTAAGACCACATACACTCTCGCAACGTATCTGGCCCTTGCCTTAGACCCTCCGACCTTACCCGGGTCCACCACCCCTAGCTCCAGTTCTCCACCCATCAATACCTCCCTCACCCTCTTGTGACCCATTGTAAAGAAAGGCCTTGAGCTCGAGGGTATGGTAGTAAGAGGGATAAATAATTACTTTTGACCGTGATTACACAGTATCTCAAAAAAGTATATGTCCACAATCTGTGTGAGACATTATGAGACCATGGGTGATAGATATTGGGATATGCATTTACTTTGGTATAGTTTAATATACTGTATGTAATGCAATGTTTATTGATTTCGGTGTAATTAATATAGTTCGCTTACCAAATGTAGTAGTATCAGTAGGCCACAGAGCCACGCATACCAACCCTCCCGGGACATCACGAGTTGCATGTAGCATTTCAGAAGTCATCGGACCCATCCTGGTAGATACTTTTTTGAGATACTGTATTTGCTCTCCCTGGTAATTGAACTACCAGGTACAGTCCACTTCACTCGTGCGCTTACAGGGATCGTCAGGTTTTGTACAGTGTGGCAAACCTGTGTTTGTTTACATTTGACAGAAGGAAACTCGTAATAATAAACACTATGGAATCAAACTAAAACAATATTAAAACAAGTATCTCAATGTAATGATCTGTGGAATGTTTATATGACGATATGACGAACCCCTGTAGACTTGTGTCTGTCCATGAGTGTTTATATGTGAACAAGTGTGTGTGTGTTGATCATTTTAACAAGATTGTTAGAATGGCCATATAACTGTAATGGGAGAGAGAAATATTAAAACAACAAAAATCACTTCCCAAAGACTTAGCTTGTATGTGTGTGGTTTTAACGGGGTGTACGTCAGCTGGGTTATTGGTCACGCGTTACTCTGTGCACACACCTCCCTTTCATAAACTTGCCCTCTCTGACCATCCCTCGCCTCGCCTTTACTCTCTTCCTCCCTTTTCCTCCTCCTCCATCCTTACTATAATCTCTCTATTATGTCTCTTGTTTTCCTTCTACACCCTATCCCTTCTTGTCTTTCTTTACCGTTCTTCTGTCTCCTCCTTTGTCTCTGTTCTCTTCTACCTCTACCCTTCCTCCCTTCTCTCTAGTCTCCCCTTTCCTCGTCCTCCTTTTCTCCCTCACCACAACCATTGTTTTCTTTTCCCTCCCTTCTAATCTCTCCCTTTTCCTGCCTCCCTCCTTCCTCGCCCCGTCTGTGGTCATTATGCGCTTCCAGATTACAGCATCTTCATTGTGGACAGTATTTAGAGATTTCCTGGTCCTACCCTCTCTCCCTCCCTCCTCCACCACGCCACACAAGGCTTCTATGGTCACCTCTTCCTGTTCATGGATTGCAAAGCACTTTGGGAGTCACATAATATCACCCCACCTTCATTTTCTTTAAGATTGTCTGTGGCTAGGTAGATTCCCATGAGTTCAGTTTGACACTATCATCTCATTTCTTGAAAATATTCCACATGCACAACCTGTTCTACCCGTGTTTTTCTGTGTGCGTGCGCGCATACTAATACTACTACGTTTTTAACGTGGCCTCCAGCCTCCCACAATAGCCACACCTTCGTCATCATTTTATTACCTTAATATTAAATATTCTGATACAAAAGTAGCTACCCTAGCTATGTTGATTTAGTTAAGCCGCAGATCTATGCGGCATTCAATGACAGTTGCCTCTTAGTCTATATCTACTACTAGTGATAAATAACTGTTTATTTAGATAAACTAGCCGCCAAAGGCTGAAAATACACAATTTACAAAAATTATTTTAATTACATAAGGAAATATTGGTCTGTGGGTAATTTAACACAAAACTTTCATAACAGAAAGAGTACATTAGGAAACATGTGGTGAACTAGGGTCTGAAAATGGACCTAAAAGTTAACTTGGGTTATAGTTTTCACTGTGGTTGAAGAGGGTCTGGTCGCAACCCTGATGCAGCTATAGTGTTGTGAAGCCAGACGATCACAGTGTGTTATTTTATTATTTAGTGTGTATGGGAGGAGAACCCGCCACGTTGTTGTGAATCCTGATGTCGGAATCATCGAAGGTTGAGAGGTATGCAGGAAGGGGAGTGACTGGTGCAGCTGCTGTTTATTACACGACAATTGACCCAAGCTTACCAGTGAACCATAAAGGAGTTAAGTTTTAAATGTCACTTACGGTTTCCTTGGTTAAGTCGACTAAGTTTACCTGTCGGCACTAATGTAAATAGGCTCTAAACGTTTCTTGGTGTATGTTTTATTAAATCGACTTACTGGTTACCATAGTTTATATATCTGTATTATTTAGGTACATGATGAACCAATCTGTATATGTATGGAGGTAGTATTTACTGATTGAATATATTTTCGTGTAATTACTCAGAAGTTACAAATAACAGCATAGAATCATGAAGTTTTAAGCATTAGTAAGGGCTACGATGATTTTGCCTCCATTACAGTACAACACCTGAAAAAAGTACTTGTACAGAATCAGCTATGAAGTACATGTACACTATCTTCACAGCACAAGAATTGGAATAAAATTTATAACGTTGATAGTCTTACCAGGAAGTATAACTTTTTGGATTACACGAAGATTCGCCCCCAAGCACATTTCACCTGATGTTTAAACACTTTAACACTACCTAGGTAATTAGGTTAGGGTTGTTAATTATAAGATGCAATATAAGCTGGGGGCAAAATTTCAAGTGATCATAATATTGCTACAATAAATTTTGCCTTATTAATTTACATGGGAGGGAATCGTGTATTACTGGTGATACTACGTGCTGATTACTGAGGATACGATGTCAGAAGATGCACTAGACTGACCATTATACTATTAATATATTTGACTTAGGTTATACTAGGTTTTAGATCTACTTTATCGTGGTTATACTGTACTATATTGAGAGTAAATTGAACTAAGGAGTTGTAGTTGACGATTGAGGATACAGCACCTCGAGTCTCGTGTATTGTCTGTAAAATGTTATGTTTTACGAGTTCATCAACTAAACAAACTGAAAATTAAAGTCTTTTTAGCCAGAATATTGTAGATAAATTAAATTACAACAACGACAACAACCATATTGATATAGATGAGTCATTCAACTGCTGTAGCTCTCGTGAAAGATACTGTACATTTATATAAAAAAATATTAGATATTGAGGTAGATTATTGGCGCTTCAAATGTAAAACCAATTATTGTTCCAATATGTACTTTTAGATTATGGTAATTACCGGTGCGTGTGTATTGAGGTTAGTTTGTTTTTTGTGGGTCATATCAAGGTATGATTATAAAGAGCAAAGGATTTTTTTTTAGTTTTCTTTATCATATTATTTTTTCTTTAGAGTAAGTTTTTTATTTAAAGGGTTAACTCACATGAAAGTTCAGAATTAAAGCGAAAGTGTTTTATAGACCACCACTCACATTCTCGCGGCTGTTTTCACCAAGGCCAAGGCGGTACACGTCACACCAGCGAAAGTGACCTAACTCCGCGTCATGTAATGTACTGAACTTCCGGATATTATCACTGAAGCTACAATCACCGTGTTTGTTCTGGTCTCTTCATACTGAAATTGAATTTGTTTATTTACCTTGAATAAATACATACAAGGTAAACAATAACAATATTGCCATGGCTCAGCCTAATGTAAACTGGGACAAGTGTTATTCTTCTACTTCAGCAACCGAGGTCTTTCCCCACTTACTCTAAATGTGTCGAAAAAATGTATGTAAAAATATATATGTAAAATAGAAAAAAAAGGGGGGGGGGGGAATAGAGACGTGGTTCAGCGAGAGACATGGAGGACAGAAGTTAATAACATAAGATTGAAGGAAACGGCAGCGGCCTACTGGCTCATAGGCAGCCCCGTTTGCACCCAACTCCTATCGCTCATATATCCGTCCAACCTGTATTTGAAGCTGCCCGCGTGTTCGAGTTGCCGATGATGTTCGGTAACTTGTTCCACTCACCCACTACTTTTTCCAAACCAATGTTTACCTATCTCGCGCCTAAATCTAAATTTATCTAATTTAAAACCATTGCTACGAGTTCGGTCCTGGTTGGATAGTTTAAGAACCTCTGTTATATCACCGTTGTTTTAGCCGACTTCCATTTATGTACCTCGATCATATCGCTCCTCACTCTACCTCTCTCGAAGGAGTGCAAATTCAGATGCTTTAATCTGTCTCTGAGCTCAAGGTCCCTAATGCCCGGAATTAATCTTGTCATCCTCCTCTGTATGCTTTCTATGGATTCGATATCCATTCTGTGGTACGGTGACCAAAACTGAACCACATAATATAAGTGAGGTCTCACCAGCGCAAGATATAGCTTCAGGATAACCCCACTAGTCTTGTAACTAACACTCCTTTGTATGAACCCTAGTACTTTGTTCG